TGTATTCTTTAGAAGCACTTAGTACTTCTTTGATTATAGTTATCACTAAATTTTTTAGTTCTGAAATTATTTCTTTTTTTTTTTTTTTGCAGAAACAGGGATTGAACTCAGATCCTTGCATTTGCCAGTCAAGCGCTTATCCTACTGAGCCATCTCCCCGGCCCCTGAAATTATTTCTGATCTGATTTCTTCTATACCTTTCTGCAGTTGTTTCGTTACTTCCAGTGCTATTATTTCAGAGATATCTGGCGTGTGATTTCCAGTTTTCTCAGTGCTAGTGTCTTCTGCAGTTGTACTGAGTGGACTCAGGGCCTGAGACTGCATTTTGTTCCTTCTCTTTGTCATTTTGTGTACCACTGTCTTCTGACCTTTGGTGTAGAGCTTAGATAGTTAATTACCTTAACACCAGGTCCGGACCTCCGAAGTTCAGATTCCTCCAGGTGGGTATTGTTTGGATCTGGTTGCTGTGCTCTACTTCTTTCTGCTGCAGCCATTAGAGTTGAACCCTTTGTGTCTCTGGCAAGATGTTCTGCTCCTGAATCAGCTGGGTGGGTCTTGCCTCTAGCCTCTTTGCAGGGAGTTCTGCTGAAGGGTTCCTCGCTGGGCCTACACTCTGAGTCAAATGAAGATCCGTGGGCCCTGGGTGATCTCACTCACATGCCAGGCCTGGGCTCTGGGTCTGTTCAGAATCCGGTGGGCCCGGGTCCTCTCACCTGTAAAGATTTTTTCTGGGGCTGACACCTTTCTGCTTTGTCAGTTGGGTAGTTGTTACTCTTTTAATTTACATTTAAGTTCTTGGTGGATAACAGATAGGTAATAAATGTTGGTTAAGTATCAGCCAAGATGTGTTTTAATTGTGCTTACAGTTTTTCTTTTCTTACGTTCCAATGGGCAGAGGCAGTGTGCTGTATGTGGGAGGAGACAGCAGTACGCATGCAGTAGGTGTGTGGAGACAGCCTGTATCTTGTCAGGGCAGGAGCCCCAGCGGTCACCTGCACTGTGTTTCTCTTGTTAGAAAAAGAAATGACGGGAGCCTGCTGATCATTTGTGGGTAATCAGAGCAATATTTCTTTAGAGCCGATTGCTGAATTGGCAGAAATAAGGCCTGAACAAGTGGTGAGATGAGAACATTTTGCACTAAGAAAAAGTAATTAATAGGGTGTCTTCCAGCAGTTAGGCCACTACAAAAAAAATTTGGATTGGGTATAGTAAAAAAAAATACAAATATATATTACACACTGTTTAAATATCTTTTTTATTTTAAAGATAATAGCAAAATAACATAAGATATAAATCATACACCATTTCAAAAAATAGAAATTCAGCAGTGGTTGTTGTATCGCACATTGTTGCCTTCAGTATAGTTGCTTAGATCACCAGATATAAGCATGTAAAATTGGTCAAAGTAAAAATTTTAAGATATCTTTAGAAATATAAATCTTGGGGCTGGCGAGATAGCTCAGCAGACTAAGCGTCTGCTTAAGCAAGCACAGGAACTAGGGTTCGATCCCCGGCACCACATGTCATGCCGGCCCTGGCCATGGGCGTGCTGAGCCAGCCACTGAGTCTGGGCATGATCGCATAAGCCTGCAATCCCAGCACTGGGGAGACTGAAAACAGGAGGATCACTAGAGTCCCAGCTGCACAGTGAGACCTTGTACCAAATATATTTAAAAAAGAGTAAAGCTTGACTAGATAGGTCTTGTTAAATTAACATATTTAGCCCTATAGTACACTTCAATACCCATTAAAAAACTTTTAATAAAATTTAAACGCTTGGCCTTTCAGTTTAACCATATTTGAATTTAGACTGGCTGGTGTGGTGATGCATGCTTGTTAATCCTAGCACTCAGGAGGCTGAGGCAGGAGGAGCATTGCAAATTGGAGGCCAGGCTGAACTACATAATAATATCGTGCCTCAAAAAATATTTTGATTTAGCTTAAGGATCCAGATACACGGGCTATTGCTATATCTTATTGCAGCCTTAAAATGCTATAAGTTTAATGGGTGATTGTAATCAGAGGTAAAAAGACCTGTATGCTAACAAAAAGACAGATGGTAAAGATAAGTCTCAGGAAACTTCATTTGGGAACAAGGACTTATTTGCAGTTGGATTCCAGGCCATGGGTGTTATGCTCTGGCCGAAAATTTGTCTGCATTTTATTCATGTACTGAGAGTATGTGGGAGACTAAGATTAAAAGGGCAGTGGACTAATGAATCTAGTTAAGGAAGTTTCAGGAAATTCTAACATTCAGGTTGTGGCATGGGTATTGTTGGTGTTTTTTTAGCCAGCTTTGCATTGAGAATCAAGCACAAGCAGCACAACTGAGTAATTTAGAAAATTTTTAATTTGCCACCAAGAAAGGACCAGAGGAGAGCTTGGTTACTGATAAGATTAGTACTGAAAAGCAGTCAAGTATTTTGGTTCAGGACAATAGGAAAAATGGCTTCAGGGTGTCACAGGAACCAGCAAGACCTACTCTTACCAGGCTCAGCACTACAAAAATGAAAGATACTGCTTTGAGAAGTCCCAGTGCACCTTACTCAAAACAAGAGTGACCGCCTAGGGATTTGATTCCCTAGGATTCTGTTTATAGCACTCAGCTGTTCAGGTACTTGGAG